TGATAATATAGTTAAATAGAAATTGTTATATGATTTCTTTTATAAAGATTTTCAGATTTTTCAATTTCTATTCTTTTTCTCTTATATAAATATCACTTTTTAATTGACTTATTTTATATACTTTTTTATGTTTTAAATAAAATTAAAATATTTTGTAAAAAATAAACTGTTAAAAGATAAATTTTATTTACTTATATAAAGCTAATTTTAATGTTTTAAATAAAATAATTTCATAGTTAATTTAAGCTTTTCTATTATTATTAAATTAACACAAATTCTATATAAATTAAGAGCAAATATAATAATTTAAATGTTTATCTTTTTATTAAATCTCTTATAATTTTATTAATTATTAAAAATTGAAGTATCAAAAGTATTTATTGCTTATTCATATTAGATATTCACATATAATATATTATAATAATATATTACAGTCAACTCTCGTTATAGTCATACATTTGGGACATCTTATATTCTATAACTATGATGAGATGTGACTATAAACAAAAAAATTTTTTAATGGTAAAATATAAATAAAAAACTATAAGAAACATATAATATATCAATTTTATTAATTAATAGATATGTTATTTATTATGTAATTATATTAAGTATATTACTAAAATCAAAATTATATATATAATATTAAATGTTTTAATTAGAAGGAAAATAATCTTCAATTGACTTTTGTTGTAAAGATGTAATATAACACGTTTTCAAATCTAAAATATAACGTCTAAGAACTTTAAAATCATCCATTTTAAATTATTATTGATAGGTAGTTGTTTATAAAAGAGAATTACTTTTTTGATTGCATTAAGTGCTTCCTTTAGTAAAACTTTTAGAATTAGTTCCTCTTTATTATCAGTATCAGATGCTTCTTTATTATGATCTTGTATCATGTCTATGATTTATTCATCAGTCAAAGTTTCTTCAGTAGGTGAAGAAGTTTGATAATAAATATAATTTTTTAAACTATTTCAGATTTCATTGTCAATGAAAATTGTTAGAATTATATCTAGAATTTTATTAACAAATACACCCAATCCTCATTGTGTTGATTCAAAATTAAAATAAAATACAATTCTGATTTTATCTCAGCAATTGCGTATGATTTGCTGTTTTACACTTTTCTAAGCTTTCACAATATAATCAATTGCTTATTTATGTCTAATTTATTTCTATATTAAGTAAATATTAGTAATTTTATATCAAAAATAACAAACACAAAAAAAAATAAAAAATACTTACTTACGTATATCAGCACCTTGATTAAATTCTTCAATTAAATGTCAAATATATAACAATTACCGATCATGTCACATGAGATATCGATCATTAATAATAAAATTGGTGTAATATCAAATCACGAGAAATTCAGTATTAATGAAACATTATTTATTTTAAGCAATGAACACCTGAACCTTAATGAACTTTTGTTTCTTGAGTTTTAATCTACATATTTCAATAGTTTTCTTGCAATATAATACTTTTTACAAAAGTTTATATAATACCTACTTTTCCTATTTTTTCGAACTTAACCCTCAGATGCAAGTTTATTTGAAAGCGAAGAACGATCTTGAATTACTAATTGTACGTAGTTTTTAATGTACAATCAGAAAATCTATTCAATAAAAGGCGGTTAAATTAGTAATTTTGTGGATAATGCGTAATTTTTATCTTGTTTTATTGTACCTTTTTTATTTATTTTGTAAAATAGTGCTCATTTAAACAATAAAAAGTCAAATTTTTATAAAAAGGAATTTGAAAAAAATATTACACATTGTATTTATTTTTTAATATTATTATTATATAACAATAATGCCAACTTTTAGTTTTACGATATCTCCATGCTGCTTTAATTTTAGTTTTAGTCTAATAGCTTGAAAGCTCACTAAGCCTACTGAAAATCTTATTAATAGCTATATCTGGCAGTTCTTCTTTGTAAACTAACAACTCTTCAAGTATTTTTTCTTCTTTGGGAGTTGTTTGTCTTCATTTTTGCCTCTAAATTATTCACCTGGCTGTCAGATCCACTTGCTTGTAAAATATTCTGTTGAGTTTGAGATAATTTAGCTTTATTAGCTTTACGTCTTGTTTTTTTTTGTTCACTAAAATCTTTGAATTTTGTTCTAACTACTTCTACTGCTCTTCTACCTTGTGTATTTCTACATTCTATTTTCAAAACTTCTTATCGATAAACTGCTTTAATCTATTCTAATCCTTTCTGATAGCACACAATCAGACGTTCAACTCCTTGATGATGTAGCTCTGTTGGTGAATATTTTTGAAATAAATCATGAGACAAAGGATCTGACCTTCCAAAAAGATCAACCAGATCATTTACAAGATCTCACATTGATTCCTTTCATGATTTACTAGCACGTTCAGTTTTTGATACTGACTTATTATCTAAATATTCATGTAGAAACAAATCTATCCTATCCCTTTCATCCTGACATGCTTTGATTTGATCTCTAAGATTATTTTCATCAATTGTATTTCCGGTAATATTTTGTTTAATATATCTAATGCTAAAGGTCTCTAATGCTTTATCAAAGCCAAAACAAACATGATAAGGATCATCATCATCACACGGAATTTTAAAAGAACTAAAATAATTTAACTTTTCCTTCAATTGTGGGTGAGCAGCTATTGTTAAAAGGTAGTAAGCTATTGCCATTGTATAATTTGACTTGGCAGCACTAGCAAAAAGAGGTGCAGCTACAGCTAGAGAATTTTTTTGAATATCAAAATTTCCAATACGTATTCCCATTCTATAAGCTTTCCAAATATCCGCCCATTTATAGTAAAAGTACCAAACTTTGAGGCAAATATGAGTATTATTATTACTATCCATAATTTCAGAAAAGGGAATTTTTTTTGAAGTAGTATATATATTAATAGCTATACCTATAGCAACCCACAGAAAATCCAGGACTCTAGATGTTGAACGATAATCAACAGCAGCTTCAAATTTATCTAAAAATCGTACGCCAAGACACGAAGTCAAACTTAACAATCCATAACTTGAAAATAAGACTAAAAGTATAGAGCAAAAGTCTTTCGAGGTGTGCTATTGACCTAAATGAGGTCTTAAATTTGGCCAATTTTTTTACCTTTAATTAATTAACGATATATTGCTTCATCAGCCACAATGTCGAGAAAATCATAATCTTCTAAAGCAAAGTCTTCTTTATACAATTTAGCAGCATGTAAAATCTTATCATCAGAATTTGGATTAGTTTCAGGCTCAAGAATAATGACATTAGGAGACAAACCTAAGCACCTATAATCTAATTTGGTAAGTATAATATGTTTAATACTTTTAGCATCAAAATCTTTTTCATAAGACAATTCACCATGAATATTTTTAAAATTTAACAACTCTTCTAATGTTTCTTAAAAAATAATTAATATTTGATTTATTTTAGAATTTATGCCAAATAATGATGTATCTGCAGTTAATTCAACAACTTCTTCAGGTCCAATTCTATCTATTGGCAATTGCATTTGAAAGGCCATTCTTAGTATTGCATAAGAACTACCTCGAGTAACATTGTAAATATTACCAAATTTAAAGCTCTTTTTATTGAAATCAATATTGTCTATAATTGCTAAATTCCAAATATTTTTTCCTTGATTTAGACGTTGTGTTAGATCAGCTTTTTCTATGCAGACCTTAGCAAGTTTCCTTTCATGCCAATCTGTATAAGAAGTTACGTGACATATTGTCAGTAATTAGCGAAGTAAACCTAACAATTGTGGCTTACGATTCAAACTTGCTAAAACTTGGGAAAGCTAAATCTTTAAAGAAGGAAAAGCTAAACCTATTACTACTGAAGTAATAAATGTTACAACTTTAATTGTTTGCTCATAAATTGTAATTGAAAGTTGTTTTTTTTATTTTCTTTGTTGACGATTATTTATTTCTGTTTTTTTTCTCGCAGTTTATGAATAATTCCCAAAAAAAATGAAGTGAGAAAGCTTGAAAATGCATTATAATACTCTTGGATAGTTTGTGATGATTCTAAGAAAGATTTTTTTGTGGTAATTTCTGATCTTAAATTTCATAATTTGTTTTCAATTGTGTATCCAAGTTCTTCAAAATTATTAATTTTTAAATCCTTTTTGTCACTTATTTTTTTAGTTGACTCAATAAAAAGTATTTTAATTATAAATAAACTAGGTAGCTAAGTAAGATTAATTTTAGCAAGTTTATTTGTAAAAGTAGAATTAATATTTGTATTTGTATAAGTTAATTCTGTAAAAGTTTTTATTAAAATACAGAAAAGATGCAAAAGGAATAAGTATGTCAACTAATGCTATTAGAATTTTTTCTTTAATTTCTTCATTTTCAGTTTGTAAAAAATCAATCAACCAATTATTTAAAAATTCAAGACCTTTACTAGTATCGCTTAAGTATAATTGTTTAGTAATACAAGTAGTTCTCTTTTTTCTCCTTCCTAGACGTTGATAAATATGACCCCCAAGTTTTTCATAACATAAATAACAAACTGATTTAGGATTTTTAATATCATCAAATGCTTTAATATATAAAGGGTGGCATACTCTTAATCAGTGTTGGCAATTGGACCAATTGGACTTAGTAAAACTACATCACAAGTTGAATTGGACATATGAATTTTATATGTCCAATTGTCCAATTCATGCAATTGGAATGATAAAATTGCCAACACTGCTCTTAATGTATCATAGCCATGTTATCCAATACATGATATTTGAATATTATGTCCATTTATACGCTAAAAATGTTTAACACATTCTGCTTCTCATGAAAGAAAAGTTATATATTTATTGCAAGAAATACATTTACACCATTGAATTATTACTGTTTCAAAACCCTTTAATTTTTTTTCCTTTGGATTATGTAGGTATTTATTATCAAATTGAAAATGCAAGTCACAAACTCCAATTTCGATAAATTTCCATTTACTTCTTTAATGGCATCTCGATCTACTTACCATGTACCAAAAAGGTTATACAATGACCTTATGGTTCCTTCTTTTTGTCCACACCGCTGAAACCCACTATTAATCAAATTAATTACTACACATGCAATCAATTCTTTTTGTTTTAAAGTTGGTATAATTTCGTCAAATTTATCATTATAGGAAAATTGTATTTCCTCACTTTCATCCCTACTATTATCTGCACTTTTAAAGTCCAATTCTGTTTCATTTTCATAACTATCCGAATCAAAACCACTAATTTCATCATTATCTTTAAGTATTTTATGTAAAAAACTAAGATTGCGTTTATTTAAATCAGTATAAGGGTTAAGGAACTCATTTTCACCATCTACATTATCACTATCTACATTGTTATTATCAATATTATTACTGTATTTATTGTCTTCTAACTCTTCTAACTCTTTCGTAAAAGTTTCAAAAAGAGAGCACAAAGAAAAATTGCCTTCATGTTCTGACATTCATATTTAATTAATTTTTTGAAAAATCGCAAAAATATGGTAAAGTCAAAATAGAAATGCAAGTTTTTGACGACTTTTCCTGCCTATACAAAGACAAAAAAATTTTTTTATGATCTCTTATGCTTCGATTATCTTAGTATTCTAAACTACAGTAATACAACATTTTCACATGTTTGTTTATTAGTCAAATTTAGCAATTTTTCGTTCATAAAACTATTTATTCTAGTAAAAGTAGCTTGATATTTATCCGATCATGATAAAAATTAATATATAGTATCTCTGACATGAGGTGAAATTATATATAAAATTTCAGCATACATTATTATATAAAATATTTTTTATTGAATTAAAAACGGTTTTATAAAAAGTGATCAATATGAATGTCGATCTCTTAATTAAAATTAGCTCAATATGCTGATCCGTAACATAACCACACAGGTAGAATGATGTTCAATTGGATTTCCATCCCGATTGATTACTTTTTTAAAAAATTTGCAACTATAAGTTCAATAGTAATAGTATAGGTTGTAATTAGAATCGGGTACTAATAAGGGTAATATCTGATTAATTACTAATGTTCAATTATAAATAACTGATCAGTTGCTATATTTATATTCGAAATCTTAACTACTGATTTGTTTCTTTTGGATTATTTTTTAATATAGTTTGGTACTTTTATTGGTATTTATAGATGCGGTAATATAGTTTGGTACTTGTCTGCTACTATTTTCATAAAAAATAGTACCCAGGCTGTACGACGTGAACGTCAGTACCTCACAGCCCTAAAAAATATTTGGATAATATATTTAATATCTCGTACCTAAGGACAAGATAGGAAAGAATTTAATGTATTGAACCTGATTGGAAGCTAACCGTGCGTCTTATAAGTGAAATTGTCTATTAATGGGTATAACTGCCATATATGTTTCTGGTTTTCGTTTACTTATTATAAATTTGCTTGGTACAAATCGACTATAAATGTTATGAACAGGAATAATACTGTCCCTAACTGCTTCATAAAATTCATATTTCTAAAGTTCAACATTACAAAATCTATCATCATTGTTATCAGTCTGACAATAAAATCTTGTCTGTTGTTTAGATGCCAGCAGATACCACCTGACAAAAGCCAATTTATGTGTCATTGTACCAGTCAGAAGTTTGATTGTATGCTCAAAGTAAAATTGCACTTCACTGGGAAATATATCCATCATTTTATTATATTGTGTGAACTTTGCCAATATATGCGAATTTACTGAGTATCGGGGTGCCATTGCTACTCCAAATATTTCTATTCCAATCTGAATACGGCCATATTGGTTCACTTTTAGCAGAACAACAATATAATCTTCTGATATCAGTCTACTGGAAGCTGCATCGGTAATTGTTACAAAATCCCAATCGTAAGCAGTGTTATAATACTGAACCAATAGCTCATATATATGTGTTGGTAAAGATACGCCACATTTTCTTGGAATAAGCATTTCTCTGGGAAAAAGCTCGTTACCGGTAATTGTATCATCAAGATTATAACGGAAAATTTGCGCGAATCAGTGTAATTCAGTAAAATCAAACCCGTCGTATGCTATCAAACTCCCAGTTGTTTGACGTGATTTCACAAGTTCAAGTGCTCTATTTAGCTTTGGATAATTCAATTGACTAGAAATTAAATTGTCTAATCTCTAGTTTTGTATAATAATGCGCAAAAGTTCTGGTTCAATATTCTGTTTACTATTTGGAAAGGACCCTATATAAGACGATAAGTTAATTTTTTGATATCATTTGATTTTTTTTTTGATAATAATCAGTAAAATTATTTACCTAATATGCTATTTATTCTTTCAAACGAATAGCACCAAAAAGAATATAATGGGCCATAATCATGACAACATTCGGTAATATGGAGAGATAAATGAATATTTAGAGTTATCATCTCCTGTCAATAATGTACTTCAACTAAAAGAGCCACTTGAAGTAGTCGGTTGTGAGCTTCGCTCAATACATCATTATCAATAATTCAACAAGTAAGTAAAAAGCAAGCTCTTACAAAATTGGCCAAAATTTCTCTATCAGAAGCATTTAGAAGGTCTCACATCAATGGAGTCGCATAAATAAGAATAAAGGACTTCCATTGATCAGCAGTATAACCAGAAAATCCCTCACCGGTAGCAATCTTGTTAGGGATTCTTCCTAAATCAGCTGGTACTTTAATAGCTTTTGCTCTTTTTTCTATTAGTTCAAGGTCTGATTTGGTGAGCTTACCGCTATCAACCCACAACCTTTTAATTATCTATTATGCAATTCCAAGAAAAAGACAATGCATTGGATTGATAACAAGGTGCCTTATTGGATTAAAATAAGACAACCTTAGCCAGTGTTGTCATGGGACATTGATAGGACACTGATGGGACATAGATGGGACAGATAGGACATTTGGGACATAATGTGAGACAAGTTGGGACATATAGCTGGAACAACAAATCTCTGAGACATCAAAAATGTACATCACTGACCTTAGCATTTCTGACCAGCGTACATGAGTATCAGAAACATGTTTATTTCTTTCATTCTTAGATTTGCATTGCCTTCATCTTTCGGCATTTTGTCGATGTTCTTTAAGATCACGTTCTTGAAACCATTCGGGCATATCATCGAAACCACCAAAATTTAGTTTTGTTCCATCAGTGTTTGCCTTTTGTAACATTGATGGCATCTGATAAATGTTGATATATGACCGCATAGTTTTCTTGTAGCTGGGATGTCGTTAAAACAGCATATAACTGCTAACCGTATTCTCTTACCGATTGGATGCTCGTTAGTCAAAGGTAAATCAACTCTATCCCAAAATTCCAATAATTCATCTACTATTGGAGAAAGATAGTGATTTATTTTATGAAGTTTAACCTCATTTGGTCCCAAAAGTAGTTCAAGATATAGCATATTCTCCCGTTTGAATCTCATTTCTCGAGGGAGGTTGCAAATTACTTCATAAATTACACCGCTGCTATATGATAAAGACTCAAAAGGTTGAAACCAATCGAGATTAATCATAATTCCTAAATGGAAATCAGCGGTTTCTCGTATAAAAAATTGTTGAGAATCGGTCATGTTAGGTTATGATGGAAAATTTTTCCAAATTTCACCATCGTAAATATCAGACATCAATCCATTATTGGTATCTCGTTCAGTCCATTTTTTTAAAAAAGATTCAAATCCCGGACATTGGTACATTGCAATTATTTGCGCTTTCAACGATGGCAAAGGAAAGATCATTTTTGGTTTTCAGATATATCCCTTAACAATTGGGATCTGTTTCATTAATTGTGTTCCGCAAGGTTGCCTTCGGTTTTGCCTCGGATGGTTTGGAAATTCTACATGTGTACATTTATACTCAGTATTTTATTGTAGAATTTCTGAAATCTTATATAAAGTGTTACAATCCGGACATACTGCATATGCCTTATCTTGTTTACCTAATCCCAACAATTTCCTTGTCATACAAAGTTGTAGGAAAATCTCTAAATTGTGAATGATTAACGTCCAATAACACCATCCTAAAAAACTTGATAAGGGAATCGATTGCAACATCCGAAAGGCAAAATCTTGCTTGGTACTTTAATATCCATAATAATATTCACAAATCGTCAAAGTTAATGTTCCTATCAGGATATCCATCATCTGATTCAACCTCAAATTCATCAAAATCGGGAGCAGTAAATTGCTCAACCGAAATATCTTCCTCACTCAAATTACGATTATCTTCTTCCGTAGAAGATTCTTCATTATTAACCGGTATCTCAAAGCCTTCTTCATCATCTGAAGGAATCAAAACAGTTTCTGACTCATCATAATCAGAAACTGTTCCATCTGCATCGAAAAACTTAGCATATCGTTTTCGTTTCTTTGGTACATCAATTGGCTCCTGATAAACTGAAATCAGTTCATCATCATCATCATTAGAAGAATTACATGATGAATTATAATCTTGTTCAGCTGGATTAACTTTTTCTTTTCCTTTTGAGATTGACATTAATCCTACATCAATCGGGTTGTTCTTGGTACTTGTTGATCAAAAAGAATTATGATTTCTAGAAGCAATATTACGAAAACGCTCCATTTCTTGCTGATGGTTCTCAAATGTTCTAGGATCTACAAATTTACTACCATGGCAACGTAGTGTACATTTACATTTGATCAATTTCCTAGTTCTAGTACTAGAGTTAGCAACTTTCGAATGATATTTGTTAATACGATCTTTTTTTGGTCTTGTCATTTTTAACAAATGTGAAATTCAGTAAGAAATCAATAAAGTCTGATTTTACGCGTTTGACGCGTATAGCATGTATATATATATATTTAGCATAAATATTGATTGTAATTGATTAGTAACAAATTAGTATAAAACGGAGAATAAAACTTTATAAATTTCAAAACTATTTCAATAGACAGACAATTAGTAAACATAAAGCTTAAGCAATGGTTATATAAATGCTAAAATAAGCTCTACTTACTTCTTTCACAAGAAAGATTTTCTTTAACGTCTTTTATTCCCGAAAGGTCACTTTCGCAGAAAAAAATTTCCCGAAAGGTTACTTCTGTAAGGAAGCTTTTACTTTGATGACTAATACTAACTTTACACTTAAAAAGTTACTTCCGCAAGGAAAGTTTACTATTCCTATTTTTTAATTCTGAAAGGCAACTTTCACAAAGTAAAGTATCCCTTTAATGACTAATTCTATTTACTACTTTTTTGCGAAAAGTTTCTTTCAATGACTAATATTTTAATATTTCAAAAGTATACCTCTAGTATCCGTTTGGAAACGTATAAAAGGACCGTATTTTTCTTTTCTGTTTGTTAAAAATTTTACAGAAGAAAAAACATGACTAAAAATATAATAAACGTCCTCCTTCAAAAGAGTCATCGGATGATGACAAACAAAGAAAATATTCACCAATATGAAAGCTCAAGACTAAAAAGAAACAAAAGAGTAGTGAAATACAACCGTAAGTTGTTTAGGTTTAAATCAATTATTTCTTTTCTGATTTCTTGATTTATCATTTATTTCAATGATAGTTATGTATCTGAAGATGAACATCAACCAAATCAAATAAGAGTCCCCGTTTTGGTTGATGTTGTTCAAGAAAATGAAGAAAAAGTTAAAAGGATTGGTATGTTTGTTTATATATATATGCATATTTATTTAGTTAACCAAAGCCTACCGGTTGTATTCAAACTAATTCTTTACAATTACAATAGATGTATTACAGGCTCAAGTAGATGAGCTAAAAGATCTTTTAAAAACAATTACAAGAGGAAAACAAAAAGCAATAAATCCAAAGAATAATATTATTGATTTTTCTGATAACGAGTATGCTTCTTAACTAAATACTATCTGATACGAACAACCCGGTACTTCAAAAGACACAACGAAGAATAGAATTACGACGAAACTGGTTTCTACTTCTAAGTACGATGATAATAGAGGTAGAAGCTGGAAAAGAATTTTCACTCCTCGGCTCCGATCAGAAAGATCACGATCACAAAAAAGACTTCTGAATCCTAAAAAAATCTTTTCAATCAGGACAAGAACAAGAACAATCAGAATGTTTCCTTCTCTTTATCCTCACCTTCACCTTCTGTTCCTTCACCCTCACATTCACCTTCTCCTTACCTTTTTTACGATGACATGGATAAGGAATTGAAAAACGCCTTGAGGGTAACTTAAATTAATTCATTGTTTTTATTTATTATTTTCTATTCTTTACTTAACCGAATATATATTTTTTATAATCAGTCTGAAATATTTGGAATTATGGATAGGCTTCCAGAAAGCCAAAAGCCAGATATTTCTGTAACTTTCGAAGACCAACAAAAGTTGATTATCCAAAAAACCGTATTGTAACAGGATTGGATTGATAAACGTGATACAGTATATTGCAGATCTAAATATTAAACATATCAGACATATTTGATATAATTGATATACTGGACATATTTGATATAATTGATATCTTAGACATATCGGACATATTAGATATATTTGATTTATTTGTTATATTCATCTATGTATTAATTTAATATAAATAGAGAGC